GGAAGCAGCCCCTCCCTACGCCCGAACCTGGAGTCGTGGCCTCCCCTCCTTTGGTGCTTGTGCAGCGCCGCCGCTGGAAAAGCCGCGCGCCAAGACCGATGTGAGCGACGACGCCGTATGCGTTTGAGACGAGGAGACAAGATAAGGGGCACTATGGTTATTTGGCATTTGTTTTTCAGATTAAGAATTTTTTTAATTCGTTTAATTCATGTCCATCTGACGGACGTCAGAAGGGCAAACGGACGTTCAGTTTAAAATAACAGAAGTAAAAACACAAAGTTGAAAAAGGAAGGGTAAAATCATAATTAGCTTACTGGACAAGGATAAAAACACCATTTTCCCTATAAAAAGGCCACAAAGAGTTTATAGGCTCTTTTGTTTTTCTTATCGAGTTTCAATTTTATTTTTCATGGATCCGCACACAAAACACATGTCCTGTTTTTTTCCACGTTGGTTTTCCATCCATCAGAGTCGTGGTACGTGTCTATCCTGGTTTCTTTTTTCTTTTCTCTGTTTTTTTGCACGTATGGTTTTTTTATATTTTTCACGATCAATTGGATTTTCTTTGTGTCCTTTTGTCTAGGTTATGTTTTCCTGAAGAAGGAGCTATAGGAGTGAAGAAGTACGAAAGTAACTGACTTAATAAGAAGTCTGTTGACATCGATTCGGGTTAGGCGCTAGATTGCCAAGAGGCTGCACACGACCTAACATGTAGCGGAGGGAGATCCTAACGGCGAGGCCGACCAGCAGGTCGACGAAGCCGATCAAACACTAGTTCTTCACCCGATAAACCCGCGAACATCTCCCGGGAAGACCCGCTGAGGAGAAGCACGATAGGGGTGTTCTAGGATTAGCAAGACCACCTACAACGCCAACATATCTCGTCAAGAGATGCACCGGATAGCAGGGGTTTGAAAGAGCATGAGACAGATCATAAAAATAATAGATGTGTTTTTGACGATTGGATGTTGGATCCATCAAATCGGCTGTCACCCTTTATATATTTATAAAGAGCGGCTGGTCTTTCCTTTGCATACAAGAAATAATTGGCGAGAAATGAGGATAGGGAAGAAGGAAGCTGATGGTCGCGAACGCTAACTCCCTCGGCTGGTCAAGAGCGTATCTTGGTCTCGCCAAGCCCCGAGGGTACGGGCTCCGTCTCGTCCGACCTCGAGGGCGCAGGCTCCGTCTCGCCTGACTCCGAGGGCGCGGGCTACGCCACGCCCGACCCCGAGGACGCGGGTTCCGTTCCGTCAGGTCCCTCGGGCAGAGACTTTGCTTCGCCAGACCCCACGAAGGGGGACTCCATCTCGCCCGACGGGGTCCGTACCGCCCCCAACCACTACTGGTCTTAGAGTACGGACGCTGGGTCAAACTCCTAACACCGGAAAGGGAGTAGGCGCGTCCTGACGTGACACACGGCCACGACGGGCCATACCTAAGGACACACATCGCTAACAGCATAGGGCGTGCCGGCGCTGTGCTACCTAATCCATGTACAGCCTCCGGCGGGGGTGTACGTTAACCATGCCCCCCCCCCCGCACGGGATGGAGCGCCACGACCAGTTGACGACATCAACGTACAGCGCTAGTGATGAACAGAGTAACGACATGGAGCCATCCGCGTCGTGATCTATAGGGTCGGTGGGACCCGCATGAAGGAAACAAAGGGCGCCATGACGTCGGAAGCCTTCTTCCCCCTCGCTTATCTCTCTCTCTCTCGTGTAACCTGTATCTTCCCCTTCGTCTATAAAAGGGGAAGCAGGACACCCCTGAAAGTGACGCTTCCAAGAGACGATAGGAGATAACACCTAAACATCTCAGCATCAACCTCATTCGATTTTTCCACCAGAGACTTAGGATCCGCTTCCTCTCTCGCCTGTTTGTAACCCCTACTGCAAACCAGTGCCGGTAACACGAGCAGCAGCGAACTGGACGTAGGGACATTCTGCCCGAATCAGTATAAATCCTTGTGTCCTCCGAGCATAGCCATCCGGGTCAGCCACGCAAATCACAAAATTTACTAGCCGATGATCCGAAACACCGACACGTGCGGGTAGATCTACACTGAGGTAGCTAGATACAATGGTCCTTAGGGTGGATCTGGTGTTCCCTCATGAAGTTCAATCTAGAGTCAACACACAGGTTCCTCATATTGGGGCTTTGTAACCTAGGGGTGTCAATGGTCCACAAACCTATGGCTATGTCTAGCTCTGACGTCTGGCCAAACTCTTAGCACCGCTACGACTATTGTTGTTGCTACTGGTCCTCCCTCTTCAGCTCTCCGCTCCCGCCCTCTGTGGCTCTGTGGATCTTGGCTCGACTGCCAATGGAGAAGAGAGAGGAGCACTGGTGGAGTAGGGCTTCAGCTGTTGGCCAAGAGGGAGGAAGGAGGCAAAATCCTATCTTGAGCCACCGATGGAGGAGGGAGGGAGGAGCATAGGTGGAGGAGGAAGGATCCTGGTTTGGGTCGTCGGCTGAGGAGGAAGAAAGGAGCACTGTCGTCAACAAAGAGAAGAGAGGGAGATTAGAGTGAGGAAAGAGGGTGCGGGACTAAAAGAGATTTGGGGAGGACAAGGAGAGTAAAACAAACATGACACTGACATGTAGGAGCCACATGTTTAGGTGGATATTGAGGCCTAGTTTTAAATAATCTCTTAGAAGAGAGGGAAAAACATAGAGAACCAATAATAGGAGGTCTCTTATACATTCTTCTAAGAGAGAAGGGATAGATAATCTGTTGAAGATACTCTTAGGTTTTATCTGAACCCAACATATTCACCACTTTGCCTATATGTAAGTCTTGTGATGGTGTCACATGTCCCTCAAAACTTCCATTCCATTTTGAGAGGCGAAACTAAGGGCACCATTTGATAGCGCTCCTGGAATTGTTCTAGGAGCAGCTCCGCCCCGTCGCATACCAAATGAGACCAAAGGCCGCCACTCCGCTCCCGTGATTTCCACTCTCTAAAGCTAGATGAGATCCGGGAAGCCCCAAAAAAGCAGCTTCACCCAACTCCTCCCGTGCACGCGGAACTTCCTCAAAACGCCCCTCTGTGTGGGCGAGGCACCAGGGCGTTGGATGTCGGAGGAGAGCCACGGAGCCACTGAGGTGTGGGGCCACCAAGTCGTGGGTGCGCGGGGGCATCGAGGCTTTGGTATGTAGGAAGCCAGAGACAAGGAGGCCTCACAGGTGGATAATTGGATAAGGGATATGAAAGCAGAGAAGAAAAAAGAGGAAGAGAAAAGAAAAGTATAAGGACATTATGGATATTTCACTATTTTATCTACCATGGGGAGTTGTTTTATTAAACGTTTTACCAAAATAGTTTCAGTTTCACTCGTGGAGCAAAAGGAAAAAAAAACTCCACCACTAAGGTAGAGTTGTACCAAATGTGACCTGAGAAAACCAACCCGTGCATTTCTCCAAGCATGACTTGGCGCTAGTCACTTAGCCCTTGAGCAAGCACAATTTTGACGACGTGTTTATCATTATTCTCCAATTTATATAATTGCATGCTCTTCTCCTATCGCTACCGCTTTCTTTTAAAGGTAATAACTAAGAAAGAATTGCATGACTCGGAACTGCCCCTTCACTAGCTTCTTTAGAGAAATCGCATAAAGTATGCTTTCTAGTCCAACTCTTTAGTTTGGGATGGATTGGAAAGGGAATTCCAAAATGGAAAGCACTCATTAAACCGGATTATCTTAGACGGATGAGACTGATCACACAGTTAATTTACAAGCAGCAGGTGGGAAAATGGTGGAATTTTCTAATCCCGTGTCCAAGTTATTAGTCTATTGAAATCTGAACATGGTTAAACAAAGCTTTCACTTGGGCTGCTTCAGCATATACTACTATGAATTATGAACATGGTGGAAAATTCACTGGTTATTGATCAAAGAAGAAGCAAATAGGATCTTCTTAATAAGAGTTACATCGATGAAAATAGTATAGGTGTAGTCGTGACCCATGATTGCAGTGTCCTGGCTCATCCTCAGCCTTGATGCCTGGTTATTGATCAAAGAAGACGCTTTGAAATGCTTCGCACTCCCGCCACTAGGCCACCTCTTAACTTAAACTTGATGCCTGGTTTAAACATGGCTAACACCATCTTCACACTGCACCTTTCCCTTTGCTCAATGTGTTCATGCACCCTCTACTACATGACATGTGGATCGCCCATGGCTTCGGAGCATGCACGGTCCATTGACCCAAGGCATTGACGCCCGCCATGTCGCATCCATGGACCTACGCGATCACGTGGCAAAAACATGTTTCTTTCCATCCTCAACTTGACTTCATCACCACGTCCGGCGAGCTATAATTATGAACATGCTATGCAAACCAAAAGATTAAGGGCCTGTTTGACTCGTGCCCGATGCGCGCCACAGGTCGCTTCGCCACAAGTGCCAAACACCCACGCCGCAGTACGCCAAAGGTTGGGCGGGCACTGCAGCTGCTGAAAAATGATGGTGATTCTTCTTGCATATATAAAAAATCTGTTGAAAAATAGAAATATAAACCTTGATCAGAGTGGAATTTGGTTTACATCTTTCCCTCTTACTGGCATGCCAGCTCATTTTCCTTTCCCTCGTAGTCTATTCCCCTTTGCCTCCGGGCCTCCGCGTGGAAATTTCCGCCGGGCTTCCAGCGTCCGGGACACCACATCAGCGCCGGCCCCAAGTGCCCGAATGAACCATAGCTCCACTGACCACTGGGATCGTTTCCTTTCAATAAGAAATGGTAGCCCGCGCTTCTTCTGCCTGCTCTGTTTTTCGTTCGGGCTTTGCTTCAACTGCACCCTCGGGCTAGCTAGAGGCCCGCCCGGCCATGTCTCCATCCACGTCGGCGAACGTTTACGGGCCAAAGGCCAGCTTATAAATCGCACACAGACCACCACCATCGCCCTCCAGTTCACCAGCCAGCATCCGCTGCACTTCTCTCCCGCCGCATCCAGCTCCTGCGGTTCACTTCAGAAGCCAAGATCGCCTGAAAGATGGGTCCCCTCGACGTCGAGTCCGGCGGCAACACCATCACCATCAGCGCCGACGCGGTCGCCGCCGCAGGCGACATGGTGGAGGCAACGCACGACGTGGCGAAGCTGCGAAGGGTCCTGGTGGGCGGCGGCGTCGGCAAGGCCGCGGCGGCGCTGTACATGATGCTGTTCAGGGCGCCGGCGGGGCTGTTCCTCCTGTCCGGGCCGTTGTTCCGCGCCTATTACTGCGTCCTGGCTGCCATTGTCCTCGCCGGGGTGGCGGAGGCGTGGACGGGGCTCTGGCTCTCCCACGACGACGACGACCCTGCTCCTCCTCCGCCACGCCGGCGCGCGGTGGGCGTGGCGGTGCTCTGGGCGTCGCTCCTGCCGCTGCTCCTACTGGCTGCAGTCGGAGGGTTCGCGGTCTTGAAGTGACAATATTGCAATTTGCAAGTTTGCAACGTACACCGTCTTGGCCTCTTGGGTTTGTTTGAATGGCAATGGCATAGTTCCATGCTGTCCGATATATGTCGATATGTTACTGAATAATACGTACGGAGTACCATGTATTCGCCGAATCGTGAATTGCGAGAAATGTGCTTTATTTACATGTTGTGATTATATATAGCGAGCGTACAAACATTTTGGCAATTTCAAATAAATTTGGTCTCTTACTTGCATGCGTTTGTTCCGTGATATTGGTATATGAATTCTGAAGTTCGAGAGGGACGGGAACGAACGGGCTTTGGAGGGGATCAGCTGACCGATGAGATGGCGCTCTGGTGCCGGTGCAGACAGAGCGGCCCGGCATAAGATTTCCCCACTAGACTATCGAGTGTCATGGATCTGCATCGGCACAAACCCAATTTACTGGCTACCTGTAATACATACGAAGCAAAAGCCCTTCATTTTAGTGAATGCCACTCTACATATATTTGGTACTCCATCCGTTCCAAATTAAAAGTCGCTTTGACTTTTTTGATACATCTATTTTACAATGCATCTGGATATAATATTACGTCTAGATACATAGCAAAATGGATGAAAAAAAAATCAAAGCGACTTATAATTTGAAAAGTAGTGAGTAGCAGTCTTTTGTCTCTACAGCTTGAGCTTGGCCGTGGCGCAGCTGATGCTTAATGATTTGTAGGACTAGGAGTATTGCTCTGTTCTAAGCCGGTATCCCAGCTTTTTTACTGAACTTTGTTATCTCTTTTCACGAAAGCTGGGCAACCTATTGTGAATAAAATACCACTGCAACCAATAAATGCCGAAGTGTAAATTGACGTAGGTGTACGTAAACTGCCGTGACATTTTTTGTGGAAGAAAAATGCCACTGCAGCTAGTATGATTTTTCCCTCGGTATACTGTGGCTCTGTCGGTTTTTACTTCGAGAGATTGTCCTAAACTACACCAAAAGAAAAAGGTTAATCTTGAGCCCGGCGAGCCCGATGAATCAACCCACGCAGAAAGCAGAGTAACTATGCTGAGCGCCCGGGCCGTCGCTTTCCGCTCAAATTTATGTTCCTCCCTCCCGTCGTTAATTATTAACTGCTAAATATTGTTTTCTTCGTCAACACCCACCGCCCGCCTTTGTTACTGCCAGCGGGCTCGGGCTCGCCCGCTCTGTTTCGGGCCCCTCGCTGTCACATCACGCCCCCGGGCCCCGAAGCAGAAAGTCGTCCTCTGCCACACGCTCGGGCCTCGGGCCGTCGGACGGGCGGCCCGGCTACGCCTACGCCTTCCTGCCTGCCTCTGCCTTGCTCGTGCCCGTCGGCTCGGGCCTCGGGCCGGTGGTGCTCCCTCCTATATATAAGTGGAAGCACTCTTCCACACCGCCACAGCGATCAGAGCAGCCTGAGAGCACGAACCGTACGTGCCAGTGAGCGAGCGATCAGAGACACTCCGAAGTTCAGCTTCCCGGCACCGGCACCCGAGGACCCATGGACTCGTTCTGCGTCCACATGCCCGCCACGGCGCCGGCGGAGGTCGCGGCGCAGATGGCGGACGCCGCGGCGGCCGGGCACGACGACGAGAAGCTCCGGCGTGCCCTGGTCGGCGGCGGCGCCGCCAAGGCCGCGGCCGTGCTCCTCCTCGCGCTCTCCTCCAGGTCCCCGCCGGCCGCCGGCGTGTTCCTCCGCGGCGGCACCGCGCTGCTCTGCGCCTACTACGGGGTGCTCGCGGCCGTCGCGCTCTTCGGGGGCCTCGAGGTGGCCGTGGGGTTCTGGGTCGCGGGGGACCCGGACCGCCGCCGCGGCTGGGGCCGGCGGGTCCTGTGGGTGTCCGTCGTTACCCTGGTCGTCGTTGCCGGATTGGGTGGTTTCGCCGTGCTCAAGTAGCTGCTGTGCCTGTGCGCTTGGCTTGGCTTTGTCGTCAGTTTGATGAATGCACCTTTCGTTGCTTCCTTGCTATAGATTTTGAGTACAAATATAAGGTTTGCTTCGAAAATGGCCAAGGGGTTTACTAAATTGAATTCACTGTACTGAGAACTGAGAATCTGAGATGCATGCCAACACTGAATTTCATCAGGCCAGGAGGTTTTATGTTTTCGGATTGGAGAAGAAATCAGGCCAGGAGGCGCTGTTGTGTTTGATTGGCAACGTCTACGATAAGGCCCATTTTAATTATGGCCACGAGCCCACGATCCAAATTGGCCGAGACGGGGCAGTTTCGGGGGGACGTACTGCTGCGGCCCTTTTACTATTCCGCCCAGTGAGGTGGAAGATGTGGTCCACTTGGCCCATCTAAATTTAGGTAGCCCACAATCAAAATTGGCCGAGATTGCTGTCTTAGCACATGAGCAGCTATCAGCTCTCGCGCCCACGGCCCACATTGAAGGGCCAGATTTCTTTTCTCTCTGCCCAGGCAAAACGCTGGCGTATCGCTCGTCCCTGTCCAGCCGTCCACAGCTCCTTCGGTAATGCAGTGCTAAAAAAATACAAATGCTATACAACACACGTGTTAGTAAAAAAAAACACATTGATTTTTTTTTATCTCTCTCCCAATCTCTTTCTCACCGGTGACCACCGGCATCGACGCCGACGACCGGTGAGCTCGCGGCGGCGGCGGCGGCAGATCTGTGATTTGTCCTTTCATAGAAAAAAAATGATCCGTGGAGGCTGGAGATAGAAGAGGGATAGAGGCTATTGGATCTTAATCCTATGGTGTAAAAAATCATGTATTAAAACTACATAAAGCGCATGGCTGTGCAGTAGAAAACCATCTGGACGGACGAACGCTCCTGTAGGTGGCCACGACCACAACACTCATCACATGCGTATTTGCTTACGTTCACCCGGGTGATTTTTGGGCTCGGCTCGCTCGATTCGCGTGGCCGATCTCATGCGCAGGACTATATGCAAGCTGTTGCAATCAGGTCAGCCTGCTGTGGTCCCCGTCCCATCACCTAGCCGGCTAGCCCCTAACCCATTCATTTAATAGAAATAGAGTATATCTTATTAGACCATATTTTACAACTTCTGTTTGATGTAAGTTTTATATTCAATTGATGTGAATTGATTATTCGTAAATAAAAATGGTTAGAATTATTCGAACAGTTACCTGAACATTTTTTGTCTTTTATTTTCTGTATATTTTATTTGGTTCCATTTGAAATCTTCTAATTTGGCTTCCATGAAATAATCTGGCTAATTTTTTTTGTTTTATTTGTGTAATATTTTTGTATTACTTAGAATTTTTTGGGTCATTTGATCTGGATCCCATGGTCATGGGATCGAGTGATGGTTGATTGAGAAACACTTGATTCTAATTTGTGTTGCCAATCGAGTGTGCAGGTGGCGTTCAGCACCCGTGTGTCCGCTCTCCCAAAAAAAAACTCGACCACCCAGCAGACAGATCATTTGCTTATCTACTCGCTCTAAACATATCCGCTCGTGAGCCCCGTCGTCCGTTTCTCTCCATTCGACCGCATCGTTGCGTCTGCACCGCCGCGCGCGTGCTCCAGCGCAACCACGCCGCCGCAACGCTCTCCACCGTGCCCGACCGGCCGCCATCCTCTATCTCCACCGTGCTCCAGCGTCGCCGGCTGCCATCCTCTCTCTCAATTGCGCTCCAACGTTGCCGCCCGCCTCGCCATCCTTCCTTTCCATGGGCCAACCATCTGGCGCTGTGTTCTCCACCGTACCGGTCGCATTCTCCACCGGAGCAGCCTTCTCCACTGGAGTTGTGTGCTACTCCGCGGCATCAAGCTTTGTGCTGGTGTCAAGCTCCGCGCCGACGAGCCTCTATTCTCCCGAACAGCGAGATGTGCTGAAAGCACATGTTGCAAGCGTATGTTTCAAGTGTTTCAGATGTTTCAGAGGTATGTTCCAAGTGTTTTGTCCAGACGTTGCAAAAATATATCGGGATGTTACATATGTTGGAAACGTCTGTTCCCAATGTTTTATCTATTTTTCAGACGTATGCTGCAAGTCTGTTTATCATGATGTTGCATATGTTTCAAACATATGTTGTAAGTGTTTTATCTAGATGTTGTGTATGTTTGCATGGTTTTTCAAGTGCTTTCTGTTGTTTTTGCAAGTGTTTCGTGTGTCATCTTTTGTATATTGGTGTTGTATCTAAAATATTTTAAAAATAGATCATATGTTGTATATGGGATGCAGCGGCGGATCCAGGAAATATTTTAAGGGGGGCTGAACAACACTGCTGCTCGATTTTAAGTCTCAGCCCCCTACACTATAGAACTTTGCCTAAAAATTAATAGGAGCTCTACAGTAATTTGCACTGTTTCAGGATAGGATAGGTAGGGGGGCTTGAGCCCCGCCCCACTGCTGGATCCGCCCATGATGGGATGCACCGGTAAGCAGGAGGGGGCGCGAGCCATCCCCGCATGGATGACATTCGAGCGGAGCTAGCCCCCACGTGGACGTGCCAAACACAGACACGGACGGACGATGTCCGATCAGCGCGGGTCCCCACGTGGACGCATAAAACGGGCGTGAAAATAAACTGAAACCGTGGGCTTCCGTCTGGGCGCTGCCAATGCCGCAGCTCCTTCGTTGTCGCGAGGTGCACGATCTTTGACCTTTGAGTACTATACTACAGCACGCTTCGTTTTTTTTTTTTTGTTGATTTCGTCAATTACTCGAATTAGTTTTTTGGTGTCTCGCGTAACGAGCACGGAAAGAGCACGTGTGGGGTCACATTGGTGACAGCCATCTCTTGGGGTCCTATTTCCTCGTTTAGGCCTAGTTTAGTTGCCGAAAATTTTGACAAAACGATACTGTAGCATTTTCGTTGTTATTTGATAATTAGTGTTTAATCATAGTCTAATTAGGCTTAAAAGATTCGTCTCGTAGATTTCGTCTAAACTGTATAATTAGTTTTATTTTTTATTTATATTTAATACTTTATGTATGCGTCTAAAGATTCGATATGACGAAGAATCTTAAAAAATTTGACGTTTTGGAGAGTAACCCTTACTCTTGTACTCCAGTATTTATATATGGTGTCGCATGCTGGCACATGCCATGCCCTTCTTCGTCCATTTTTGTCTTTGCGAACGTGCGTGCCTGCCCTTACCGGAGACTCATCAGACTCCAGCTGTCCAGCAGCCATGGAATGGACACGACCTGAAGAATACTCGCCCTGGCACCACCGCACCATTGGTATTGGCTTTCGTCAGTCTACGCTTGGCGCTATCCCTGCACTGTCAAGGCTATCCAATCCACGTCCTGCAACCGGAGATGATGGGCCTGGCTTCGAATTCTTGCCGAGCCAAAATTTATAATTATCAATTGGTTTATTACCAAAGAATTGACACACCAATATTCAGCCTGTTCGGTTGGCTGATTCGTTTCGTTACTGGTTCGTGAAGAAGTACTGCTGACCGATTTATGTGAGAGAAAAATACTACTCCGACTGGAAATTTATGATAGTCAAAATTTTGATAAGTCTCTAGAAAGTTCTTAAACTGCATATAAAAGAGAAAATTAGTAAGCCTTGATTTTAGCAGCCAATCAAATGCACGTCTATATTTTTTTACCCTAACTTTATCAACATTGATTTTGACAAGCCTAAGTTTTGGCCTATAATAATTTTAGTTAGGCAAAAAGTGGTTGCCAACTAATCAGGCCGAGCGATTCCTTCATTCCTCGGTAGTACGTGATTCGACGTGAGCACAGCACGCAACCAATGTGTATACTACAGTCCTAGTAGTACTGGTAGGAAGAACTCAGACGGTCTCCAACACCGCGCTCCAAACACATATTTGCGTCTTAGATGGTGTTTTGGTACCGGAATCGGCCTCCAACCGATGACCAATACGCAAGACGCAATTTACGTTTGAGGAGAGAGGAGTTGCGTCGTCCTCCACGCGCGACGCAAACTGCCGGCGCTGCCCCTCTCTCGCTCTCGTCTCTCCCGCGTGCCGGAGGCGGAGGCGGAGCTGGGGCCCGAGCCTACGCCGAAGGCGGAGAAGCTGCGCGACGGGGAGCCATGACGGGCCCCCTCCGGCGCGGCGTGGGGAAGCGGAGAGGGTCGCGGGGGAGGAGGCGGCGCTCGCGAGGCTGCCGAAGATGGCATCCGCGCCATCGTCTTCCTCCCGTGCAAGGGCGGCGTCCTCGAGTTCGGCTCCGTCTTGCCTGTCCTCCATGGTGCCACACCTCCTTTTGCGTCTGTTGTTGGAGATGCAAGACTTAGGTGCAGGATGTATTTTACTGTGCGTGACCTATACCGTGGAATGAGTCTCGCTTTTGGGTGGGTATTCATTGTTGGAGATAACCTCACGCAGTGGTGCCGACGCCGACCTGATTGCGGTCACTGCTGACGCGCTGAGACCGAGTCACACACGACCGGTCACCGTACCACTCGTGCGCGGGTGCTGCAGAGTCAAAGCCTTCTTCCCCGTTCTCCCGTACAAATCGTCGACACTCGACACTAACGGCCGACCACCCACGCGTACGACGTGCCCTCCTGCCCTGCCGGGGCAGCGGATGTGACATGCAGAAACATACGAAACGGAAGGCTCGCGAAGCCCTGCGAAGTCCGAACGGGCTGACGTGCATGCCAACGCTTTCGCTCTCTGAGACCGGAACATTTTTCCCACCATCGCTCGGGACGCACAGCAGCACCATCGAACGCATCGACGGATCCAAACCAAACGGACCGTGGTCGTGGATCGAAGCCGCGGACGATGGGAACCAAGCATCTGCGCCAGGATCCATGATTAGGAGCGGAAGACAACAAGCATCTGCCCTGCCCAAGAGACACGGGCGCAAACCACTGAAGCGTCAGATAGGTTTGCGTCCCGTGTGTGCGTTTAGGATTCATAATAATATATTCATTCATATGATCATATCATATCTCCAACGAAAAGGTC